GTGGAACTAAAAGCAAAACGGAGAGATGATCACGGGCCCTGACATGTCAATGATGTGTTATGAACAAACACATATTACCTTGGCATGGAGTCACGAGTAAATGACAAAATGGGAAATAGGAAGATATTCTTGGCTTTTCAGGGAACTAGGAGTGGGAAAAGGGTATTCTGAGAGAACAATATCTCTATCAGATCTCTCTTTTAAAATGGAATTTTAAAATAAAGAGCTAAGAGACATTCAAGAACAGATGTTAAAAATAGATAAAGGAGGAAAAACTAGAACTTCTAAAGAAGTCAAATGAATTTTGCTCACATGATTAGATCGAGAGGAGGTTAAGGGGTCAAAATGACATTGCATCATTCTGATGAGCTGCTCTCAGGTTTTACAAAGGAATTCAGTGGAGAAAATGAAAGTCCCAAAATGGTTTTTGATTTAATAAAAATATTTCCTGGGGCCTGTTAAATTCCAGGAAAAGCTGCTAAGAGAAACTGAGGAATTTCTATCTCCAGAAACTGATAATACATATAAAAGCGACTTATCTAGATAGTTGTGATTTGGCCATTTTCATCCCTGAGAGCTGGAAACTGGTCCAGATAACCTTTACAAGCTGCATTTTGATCGATGAAACCAGGAGCAACTTGCTCAATTTAATAGGCAAGAATTATAGAGAAGTACATAAGAGGATAAAAAAAAGTATTAAAGTTCTTACAGGAAATTTCTCAAAGTATAAATGCTTGAATGCTTCCTGATTCTTCCAGAGTCCTGAAAAAGCCCCAGGTGGCAATGGCAACCTTATATAAAAACAGAGCAAAGTATGATGAAAGTGGTAATAAAGACAGATTTATTTGAACGACTATTTTTCCAGTGTGATGGGTAATTACGAATTAAATCCCACGTGGAAATGTGACCCCTAAAGCTGCTGGACAGATCATGTCTGAGGCCTACGTAGCTGATTGTGGCACAGAGGAATTATTGAAGTTTAACTGTAGTTTCTAGAAAGCACCAAAAAGGCACACACATTCAAAATTTAAATTGTTATTAGCAATAATTGTTTCAAAAAGGAGTATGACATCTGCAAAAAATAGAAAATAAAAAGAAATACATCTCTAAATCACTTGCTAAGAGAAGCAATTTCCACCGCAGAAAAATCAATTCATATTTTCAAGTACCATGGTACCAACTGTCACCTTTGCCTGTCTCTTTGTGGAATGGAACATTCCAATTAGGCATCAGGGTACCCACCTTATCCTCACAATCAATGTGCCTCTCCCCTCTGGGAATTTCCTGTTTCTATCACTTGTATTTTTCTTTTTCACAGCCATCTAGATCTATATGCCTTCTTTCTTCTGTGATATACACAGAAACAGGTGACCATATAAAATATAGGTACCATATATCTTCCCTTGCCAACCGATTTCCTCTTGTAATTCCTTCTTTCCTCCAGTTCCACACAGTGTTAATATACATGCCACAGTCCTGACCTCTCTGTATGTATCTATCTTTATTCTTCGATCATGTATCTATCTATGTTTATATACATAAATGAATAAAGTCTCATATTGGTTCCCTCCAGAAAGTACCCACCAACAAAGATAACCGCTCAAATTGGTTTCTGTACATAGAAACCTTGTAGAAATTTATAGTTTGTAAATTTAGACACAGTAAGACTAACCGACTTTCAAAAATCTACCTCACTGTATCATACAATAAAATATATTAGGTTATTGGAAAAGTCATGACATTTTTCCTATGGTTTTCTACACAAAAATGTGTCATGACTTTCCTGATGACCCCAAACAAAGCGAAGTAGTGACTTCACAGCTCTGATATTGAGAAAATTAAATACAGATAGTTAGTGCCACATGAGGTGACAACATAATCACAGCCTCTTCAAAGCAGCCTTGTTGGATCTCACAGGACAAGAGAGATGCAGGGTGGTCAGATGGCCAGCCTACTATTAGACATCCATAGCACCAGATTTCCTCCACATTCTGTCAGGCAGAAAGTGCGGTCACAGTGGGAGCAGCAGCTGATGCCTCCTCAGCACCGACTGCCCCATTCCACCAGGTCTAGCTCTCAGTACTGACTCTAGTGGGGTCTTCTCACTCTCTAGGTCCTTTCGTTTTGTTTACTTTAAAGGAATATATCAGCATTTCTGGACCTAGTGTCATTACATTAAGTGTGTGGGGAAAGCATTTTGTAACCCGTGAAAAATCTACAGAAACGCTGGTGTGCTGTTGTAACCACTGCTCATCACTGTTCTAGGCGAGGACAGCAGTCTGAGAGGATAATCCCTTCAGGTTCTTTTAACTGACTTTCCTATCTTAATCTTCTAAATCACCATGTATACAATTTAACTTCATCAGTTTATTTTAATTGTTAATGTTTTTCAAAAAAGGAAAGCAACAAAAATGATACTAAGCAGCAGCAGCAAATCCAATGGCAATACTTACATAAAGGGATAACATTAATGAGTAAAGTCGACTATAATAAAATTAGCAGTAATTAACCTGACAGAGATGCATTCTTCTTGCAATATTAATTAAGAGATAATTTCCAGTTGCTTCCAAGAAATACATGCAGTTGGCATAGTGGTTACATCCGAACTCCCAGATGGCCAACCATGGTTTGAGCTCTGGATCCAATGGTTTAAAAGTCATGCTGGGCACGTGTGTGTGTGTGTGTGTGTGTGTGTGTGTGTGTGTGTGCGCCCAAGATCCCAGAAAGAAAACAGAGGAGAAGGTATGGCATGGCCATCCTCCACAGGGAGTGATTTCTCACTTTCCCTCTCCCTGTCTCTGTCTCTATCTGGCACATACCCTATTGGAAAACATCTTAAAAAAGAAGAAGAAGATATATAATACACAGTATGTTCTAGCTTTCATGGCAATATTTTTTGACTGACATATAGGTATTAGAAAATACCTTTTAGGTCAGCCTATGGTATGGTGGTTAAGGTGTCAGGATCCCATGCAGCTGATTGCCTAGTTTGAAAACCAGACCTAGTGGCTTTAGAAAAATATTGGGCACCTACACATGCTCAGAATCCCAAAAGGATTTGCAGAAGGGATTGCAGTGTGACCATAACCCATGGGGGTGTTTCTCTCTCTCGTTCTCTATCTGGCCAGCACATGTGCCCTCTGTCAAATTAAAAAAAAAAAAAAAAACTTTCCACCATATTGTAAGAAAAACAAAAGGTAACTGGTAATAATAGAAACTGGGCCAGTGGGTGGCATGGTGGTTAAAGTGCTGGATTCCCACATGGCTAACAGTAGTTCCAAGTCCCAGACTGGAGGCTTTAAAAATCACACAAGGCATATGTATGTGTGTGCGTGACCAAAATCCCAAAAGAAGCAAGACCATCCCCCCAAGGGGTGATTTCTAACTCTCTCTCTGTCTGTCTCTCTTCTGCAAGTGCATGTGCCCTATGGTAAAATTTAAAAAGGAAGAAAGACAGAATGAACAAACAAACGAAACTGACATTCGGGCTGGATAGAGAACATTAGTGAGTGATGGAGTCAGGAGCAAATTAAAATGCACACGCTGAGGACAATGGAGATAGCGGTTTTAGTTTCATCTGACTGTGGACATACAGTAATGTTGATCCAAATATTCAAACGTAATATTGCCCACACCAAAAACTACATATCAAAGGGCATATGGTCAAATACGTTTTGCTTTTTGTTTTTTTGTTTTTTTAATTTTATCTATTCCAAACCAAATATTTGATTCACTAGCATCCACACAGGGCTACATCACAAAAGACACTCCTACAGTTTTGTAATAATAATCAAAATGATTTAGTACTTAGTGCACTGGAGGTAACCTGGTGGTCTAATAAATACCTAATTCATTGTGCATAGATGGCAGCAAGAGTTTAGTCTCTTCTTTTTGGAGAGGTTTTTGCTATAGGGCACGTGCGCTCGCTGGAAAGACAGAGAGAAACAGAGAGATAGAAAGTGAGAAATCACCCCCCAGGGGGGATGGCCACGCTGCAATTCTTTTTTCTCCATTCTCCTCTTGGGATCTTGGGCACGCACGCATATGCGCCCAGCGTGAGTTTAAGCCACCGGGTCCAGGACTCAAACCGCTGTCTACTACATGAAAGTCCAGCGACATAGCCATTATGCTAACTGCTGGTCCCAAGTTTAGCCTTTTATAGTAAGAGTGTTACTCGAGTTAAACGGATAATCTTAGACTTTTCAGAAGTCAATCACGATTACTCTTCTTTAAAAAAAAAAAAAAGTCCTGATCTAGTAATGAAGTGAACAATGTATTTTCCCTTGCTCCCGGGTGGGAGGGGGTAGATACTAGAAATTAATAAGAAAATATATTCTTATAATTAATTGAAGCCTAAACCTGGAGGATTGTAGGTAGCTTCCCCAGAAATATAAGCCTACAGGACACAGATTTTATCAGCTATTGAAGAAAAAAACTTTCAATATCTGCATACATTTTCTAAAAAATAGGAACAATATGGCTTTTTATAACATTTCTCATTCCACAAAAAATAAAAAGGTCGGTATAAGTTTGAGTATATTCATATATCTGGAAATGAAAAATACTGCATTAAGTGCTCTTTACATGGGGGTGCAAGAATATGGTAAAGAATTTCCGAACTACCTGAAATTGAATCTAAAATTGAACGGTATGTAGATATCTACTGCATATTTCTTAGAGTCTTTGCTTTCATCTACTGAAGAAGGATTGGCAACAACCACCAAATATTGAAACCTCTGTTCAAGGAAAATAGAATACCAACCAGTATGGAGCCTAGTGGTAAAAAAAGGTCATCCTAAGTATGTCTGAATGACTCTTTAATCTTAATCATTAGAAATAGAAAATCTCAACTTTCTTTTATCTCCAGGATTAAATCTACCTTTGGATAGCAACATTATAACTTTAGCTCCTTCCATTTGGATTACAAAAGTAATTGCCACTAAATACAACAATGGTGGTAGAAAAACGGAATGAAGAAAATAAGAAAATTGGTCAGAAAGAAAGAAGGAAGTAAAGAAGCAAAAAGTAGACAGCTAGGGACTCAGAATATTGAAAGGAGAGAAGCAGGTGCTGGAATAATTCAATCATCCTACAGAACTTCCAACAAAGAACTCAACATGCGATATGTGACAGACGTTTCATACAAGAGGAAGTATCTGGAGAAGGGATGGAGGTCAGAAAATTTGGCATATAGAGGGTGATCTGATTCTTGAAGAACAAGTTCATGGAGCCGGAAAAGAAACAGGACAAAGAAAAATTTTAGAAAGGTACTCCATGATTTGTGACTAGCATTTCTAAACTCTTTTCTCCCCTGAATTTGCGTCTTCTATGTATTTCTTCTCATTCTTTCCATTTACCTAGGTAATAAAAATATATGTACTAATTTCTTAAAATATGTAAGGTATAGCAATAAGTGGGAAAATGAAGTGAACAATGTATTTTAAGTACAAATGATCTGGTCAATCTAACCAACACTTGGTGTGTGTGTGTGTGTGTGTGTGTGTGTGTGTGTGTGTGTGTGTGTATGTTTATGAACAGAATAAAAGGAGGGATAAAATGGGGAGAAACTAAAGGGAAAATTTTACAAAGCCCTAAACATCATGAATAGGGTATGGTGGTTAATTTTATGTATCAACTTGACAAGGCCACAGAATCCAGATATTTGACTGAATATTATTCTAGATGCTTCTGTGAAGATTGTTTTAGATGAGATTAACAATTAGATCAGCAGATTTAGACTAAAGCAGATTACCCCCATACTGTGAGTGGGGCTCATACAATCAGTTGAAGG